ATGCCACTTCTCTTGAAACATAGTCTAAAATGGAAAATACAAACAGAGTTCACATATCAAGGCATACCTGCTCAGTTTGATCCTCTACGTTGTCCGAGATGAACTTTCCAGTCTGCATAGAGACGAGGGAAAAAAGTTTACAACCAACTTTTTTGTTCTAATGTGTGAATAAAACTATACATATAGAGAGAGAATGATATGATGGTGATTAGATGTTTACAAGAAATAGTTGAGATTGTATGATCAGCTAACACCACAAACCTCTGGAATGAGTCCCAGAACCCCAGACATGAAAAGCATATTATTTGCTTTGATTGCTTGAGAATATGGTCCCAATGCTGCTGGAGCCTTTTCTGTCTGAACGGCTTCCTTTATGCCTAAGTTCAATTGCATGTTGTGAAATAAATGAGCATCGTAATACAAATTATAAAACAGAAATGTATAAAAATAATAGAGATGTTCAAAGAAGATTTTGAAATGAATTGAGCCGAAATAGAATGTTCCTAACCAAACAGAAGCAGTAAAGTACCAGGTTGAAGCACACTGATGTGAAAAGCACAAGGCACTTGCAGTTTGAAAACTCTTCATTCTTGAAAGAAAGCAACTAGAAAGCTAAAAAGGAGTAAGAAAATTGCTCTGTCTTCAACTTGTTGTGAACATTAAATACTGGTTACAAGTACAAATTTAGACGCAGGGTCAAGGGGTCGACTCCATAAACCTACCTCCCTTGAGTCTTTTTAGTCAAAGCTCTTAAAGGCGTCTAATTAGAGACAAGGAAACATACGAGGAGAAAAGAAATTCCCACATAATATTGAGAAGAAGAAGAAGAACCAAAAACTTATGGACTATAGCAACGGCAATGAATGATTAACACTGGGAGAATTCAAACCAACCACTAAAAAAAACAATTGACCAAGAGATTATGGTTAGCACGGTAACTTTCAAGATGATTTCACATCCATCACCTTTCTCGTGAGGAATTACTCTGTTTTCTCTTTTGAGATACATGATTTTAGTGTAGTACCCTTGTTCTTCTACTTCCCGTACTAAAACTTCAATCTACTGGTCTAATGGATATAAATTTTAACTAGTCACAAAGGATCCAACTTTCTTGAGTGCAAGTTAAAGTTGTACACTATGTTCTCTAACAAGGGAATACTAAAATAAATTCATCTTGGCAGTTAATTACAAAAATTAAAAAATTATGCTTCACACTCTACAGCATTGGATTCATATAACATAAACTGCACTTTTTTGCTAAATTTAGACATAAAAGGCTTTTAATTTATATATTTTTACAAACGGCTTTGTCTAGAAAGTTTCAGGGAATCCCAGAGTAATGCATAAAGTAAAATTCTTAAATGCAGCAATTGAAACGGAAGTTCAACAAAAATAAAATTTCAATAGGTTGTCAAATCGAAATACACGGGCGGGGGAGCTCACTGGCAGTGGCATCAGTAGAAGTGCTCAAGGAAGCAAACAGTTGCGGCGATGATCTAGATGACGAAGGGCGGCGGAGGTTAGCGCCAGCAAATGATACGCAGCTGACGGCCACCATATGTGGGGTCCGATTTCGCATCGCGCCGGCATCGATTGCGGGCAAATGGAAACTCCTTGCGGCGGCGCACCACGCCATAAGTCTTCCTAATGTTGACTGTCTTTAGAGCGACTGAAAAAGATTTGTCATTTCTGTGTACATTTCTTGTCTTTTATTTAGGGTTAAATTCATGGTGACACTCAATTTTATTTTATTATATCATAGTCATCTCACTTTATAATTAGTGTTGTCAATTTGATTTTATTTCACCACAATCATCCAATTTTATATAATCATGACCATCCAATTTTGTATAACATTTCATCATGATCATCCAATTTTTTTATTATTTTTACTAATTTTAAAAGGAGTAAAATAGTAACTTTACATTATATTTATAAATTTTAAAAAAGCAAAATTAAAATAAAAACTCACTCAAGAAGATCGTTACTTAAAAAATAATAATATAAAATAAAAACTTATTTGAAAAAAAAAATAAATAAAACAAAAAGTTATTTTGAAAAAAGTTAGAAAAGTAATATGAAATAAAAACTTATTAATGGGGTGGCTTAGTGTCTTAGAGTCTCGAGCTAAGCTCATTGGGCTTTTTTCGAGTTGCGCTATGAGGTGCTCGTTTGCCATCCCTACTATGGCCTTGTTTGAGCCATATTATTTGAAAAAAAAAAAATATTTTTCAGCAGTGATTTGACATCATTTCAATCACATATTCTTTAATAAAATAATATTATCTGCAAATTCAAAATATTTTCTTATTTTTTAACAACACGTTACCCATCAATATACCATTCAAAAATTTATTTTCATTTCTATAAAATGGCTCAAACAAGGGCTAAGTATAAAGTTAAGCGGTNAAAAAAAAAAAAAAATTTCTCATACTCATTTTCAATCATACATTCTCAAAATAAAATATTGACAATAAAATATTTCATACGTAAATTCAAAACTTTTCCTAACTTTCAATACGCTCCTCAACAATCACTTTTCAAAACTTCATTTATTCAAAATAATGGCATCAAACAGGAACTTTACTGCTCGTGGAAATAAAAATAAGGGATTAAGACGCATAAATGATAAATGCGCATTAAAAAGCACATGCAAAACGATTCAATCTATTTTGTAATTTGCACTGAAAGTATCAATTGTAGCAATTTCTTATATTTTAATACAACAAACGGCGCTAAAATATATTAATTTCCACTCAACGTTCTCAAATATTTTCCAGTTGCAATTGAATTAATTTTTTTTTTCGAATTGTCATCCATTTGATTGCAAAAATAGAATTTGGATGGAAAGAAAACGAATTTCAAATAATTGAATTACTTAAAACTTGTTTTACTAAAAATTATCTATTAAATGGGTTTGATTGGTCTAATTTTTTACTTGAAAAATATTGAAATTTTGGATCTTTTGATTTTCGTTCGACTTTGTTTTTCATAAAAATTGTTAATTAAAGGGATAGAATTTTTTTCCATTACCAAAAAATATTTAAAAAAACAAAGAAGCTGGAAAACTCAATTCTCACCAAAACCAAAGAAAAAGCAATTCCTTCGAAATCAAAAAAAAAGTGGTAAGGTGAGGTGTTAATTGGAAAACCAATTCCATAAAAAAATTTGCCCATGAAAACATACCCTTTGGCTGAAAACTTTTTCCCGTTTTCTATGGAAAAAGAAGCATATCAAACAAGCCCCAACTTCTTTTCGAATGTGGTAAGTTGCAAGTGAACTTTTAAAAACAATAAAATTGTCACTAAACTTAAAAAATATTATCTCATTCACTTTCGTTTTGAAAACCCACATGGCAGAAACTAACATCCAACTTGCGATTTTGGTTACGTGACATGCATTCACCTGTTTTTCATCAAATTCGTTAACTTTTAAAACGACAGTCGATCCAATGACAAATTGAAAAATGTTTTGATAGTTTCAACAACTTGAAAATTTTAAAAGCTCAATGAAAACTAAAAACCATTTCAAAAAAAAAATAAAAAAAATTAAATAAAATAAAAATTCCAGTAAATTTAAAAAATTAATTAACATATATTTAAGAATGTCAGTGACAATGGAGATATTTAACCTTCTCAAGCCTCTTAGTATTATTATTATTATTATTATTAGTCACTAAACATTATATTCAATTAGGAATAATAATTTCTTATACAAACAATATTGGATCAAAATTTTTACATTTTTCATGAAACAATTTTATGCATGAAATATTCCCATCCAATCCATCGATGTAGTTGTAGTTAATTTACCTACATATCAGTAGTAACTTCTGTTAACCCCAAAAAATGTTGTCAACAAATGTCGGACCCATCCGCGCACACGTGAGCGAAAGTCCTATACGCTAAGACACGTGGACGGTCTAGAACGAACGGTTCAGAGGCGTGGGAGTAGCTCAACGACGTGGGACGAGAACGTTTGAAATCCGACGGGATGTTCGTAATGCGATTGTACAATAATTACCAATCGGTGCTCTTGAATGTGCATGTAAATATGTATGAACTCGTATTGTGTTGCAAGATAATATGAAAGAGAGAGTAAAGTGTGGTTTCTTGTATTGATTCTTGCATTAGCTCTTTAATGTTACACAAGGGAAGTATTTACAGTGATACATGTGAAATGGTAGCCTTTGGATGAGGTGGCACGTGACCTTATTTCTTTAATCCAAACATCCAATCCTAGGCATCATCCTTGACTTGCTAGCTTGCTGCGCATTTATTGCTTATGCAAAACCCCCATGCTAATGACAAGACTTGACATGTACACTTATGAAAAATGTTCCATCAATCTTTCAAACAAGATCTTTATGTAGAAGACCTCTTGGGAGAAGTGATCATGGAAGATGTTCGGAGGCTTCTGTTTCGGCTTCGGATTCAGGGCTTCTGCCACTCACGTAATACTTCTGCTTTAGGGCTTCGGCTATCTTTTCGGTGATCTCGCATCATGGCATCGATTTATGGGCTTCGGCGTATGGACTTCGGCTACTTTCACAGGCCTCGATATATGGGCCTCGACATGAAGGGCCTCGGCCATACATGCCACCTCGGCTGGAGTGCCACGTGGTTCGGATTGAGTGGGTCATAGGCCCAAGTAGGTTGGCCAAGTATGACAACAGGTAACAATAGTCCCACAAGTCCAAGTATAGTCATTTATGTAATGCGTGAATTTTAATGAAGTAAAGCCAGTGGGTTGGGTAAAAATTGAAAGAATTTTTAAACCCCAAATAATAGTCCCCCAAATCCAAGTATAGATATTTATATCATGGTTGGAGTTAGAAATGTGCTGTTGTGGGTGAATGATGAAGAAGCCGAGGTGGTGAAATGAATTGAATGTGCGAGGCTTGTGAAAGCTAAAATTGAAGATGAAGCCGAGGTGGCTGGGAAATCGAATCTGCGAGGCTTGATGGCTGAAAGTTGAAGATGAAGCCGAGATGGTTGGGAAACCGAACCTGCGAGGTTTGATGGCTGAATGTTGAAGATGAAGCCAAGGTTCATTGACAATAATTGTTCCTTGGCAGTTGTGCCAATGATTTAATATTTTGCGTATGTGTTCGAGGAAAGGTGGCTGAACCGTTGCAACTTCCAAGGCGCCTGCTGCCGTCGAATTAAAATTGTAATTATTAGAACAGTTGGAACTTCTAGAACCAGACGCGTTGGATGAGGTGCGTGGGAGACACACTTAAATCTGAGGCGTAGGTTTGAAAAACCGTTTGAATTCTACGCATCGGATTTGATTTAAAATGAAGGGTCCATATTGAATGAGCTTTGATCTGACAGTGGGGGTTCCACCTGGCCCTTTATAAAAGGCGAGAGAACTCCCTTTTTCTGGATTTTTCAGCACTTGCCATTTGATTTCTTCTCTTAGAGCTTAAACTTTCCGGCGTTGAAGCTGTCCATTCACTGTTTTTCCGGCACTTTCCGTTTGTGCAGTTTTTCAGTAGGTATTTTTCACAGAAAATCCTCCTTTTATTGCGTTCTTAGTCATTTTTGAGATGGAGTCCACCTCGCGTAGGAAGTTGGTCACTGTAACATCATTTGGCCATGGGGTCAGTCACAGGGGGGATTTCGAGGTTGATAGGCATGCTATGACTGAGGAGCAAGTAGACTATAGCGAAGAGTGGGGGGCGTCTAAGGTGCCTTCAAATATGACATGGAAGAGGCTGGGGAGATTAGGGAGAGGTACTGTGTGCCTCACTATGTGGAAATGTTAGTTCCCGAAACCCATGAGCGGGCCTGTTATCCGAGGCCCGATTGTGTGGTGATGAGTGAATACCTGTTTAAGGCAGGTATGCGTCTTCCTCTGTACCCCTTCTTTAGGGCGGTACTGAGGAACTTCATGTTGTCGCCGACCCAGGTTCTGCCAAACGGGTGGAGCCAGTTGGTTAGCTCGTACTTCCTGTGGAAGGAAGTATCACTTAGGGAGGACATGCCTCTCCATGTCTTCATGACCCCGTTCCAGTCTAGGGTAATAAAGAAGGAGTCGAGGGGGTGGTATTACCTAACTCCTTGGGGAACTCATGCACCATTTGTGGTTGGACTGCCTTCTTCCATCAAGGGGTGGAAGGAGTTGTAGTTCTGGGTGCGAGGCAGTGAAGGGAGACAAAGCCCTGGCTTGCACAGTATCGACCTAGTACTATGAAGCTCGTGAGTCTCCTAGCCCAAGTAGTTTGTAATCTGTATTAAAAATTTTATTTTTCTAACTGTTGAGGCGTCCTTTGCAAATAGTAGTACGAGCTTTGAGCTAAGCAGGGAGGAGTTTGAAGTGATAGAGAACATTTACAAGAGACCTCTGAAGCTTCGCCACTTCGACTACCTCATCGACAGAAGTCGCTACTTCCTCAATTTTGAACTAATGGCCTCCAAGGGTACGAAGCTCCCACACGTATATTTTTGTGTTTTCGTTTTGATACTGATGCACTGTGATCTGCAGACAAGTTTAAGAGGAAATAGTACCCAACTCTTGACATGGCGTCCATACTTAAGGCAACCTCCACTGTGAAAGCGAGGCCCCTGAAGCCGGGGTCAAGCGGCGCCAAGGAGGTCCGAGGTAGAGTTGAGCGTCTCTCCAAGGACAGCACGCCGTGGGCTTTCGAAAAGGGGACCCCCAGAGGCCAGAAAAGTCCAAGGAGCCTCGG